TGGAGTAATGACTGAAAATTCAGCTTTGCCATCACTGGAATACATAACATTTCAAAATACGTATATTACAATAGAAAACTGTTATTTTACATTGTAATAATATTTCACAACACTACTGTTTTACCATATTCTTAATTAAATAAATACAGCCTAAGAGATGTCTTTAAAAAAACGTAAAAATCTCACAGTCCCTAAACTTTTGAACAAGACTGTATATACACATGCAAACTGCACAAAATGCATTAAGAAAGACTGTTTCCAAATGATCAGTTTCACCATAATAGTTGAACAAATATTTTGCGACATTGTGTACTGACATGATCAGCTCCTTACATGATCTTTTTTGATTCCTCAGGTGACTCGCAAGGTCAAATCTGTGCAGATGTTTCGTAAGCCAGTTCCTAGTGCTATGCAAGGGGATCGGGTCGGCGTGTGTGTGACACAGTTTGATCCAAAACTGTTAGAACGGGGTGTAATATGCACACCAGGCTCATTGCTGACTCTTTATGCTGCTGTTATATCCGTCCAAAAGATTGAATACTATCGCGGAGCACTTACCAGCCGTGCAAAGTTTCACATCACTGTTGGACATGAAACTGTTATGGCACGTATTTCATTTTTCAATCGAGTGCTTCTTGCCAATGAAGATGGAGACAGTAACCCCACCTCTCCAGAGCAAAATGCAAAATCTTTCTCATTTGATTGGGAGTTTCACCACTTAGATGAGTATTTGACATGTCAGGCAGAAGATGGGAGAGGGGAACCACAGCAAAGGGCTTTACTTGAGTTTGAACGACCGGTCACATGTCCACCACTTTGCTTAGTGATTGGGTCACGACTGGACTCTGATATCCATGGTAACGCATGTAGGCTTGCCTTTCATGGAAAGCTTCTGGAAGGCTTTGAGGACAAAAACTACATAGAGACAGCACTGCCTCGGCTCAAAATCAGCAAAGACAAGCAGAAAGAAGGAGCAGTGGAACGGGTGACTACAAATATTTACACTTCCATTCAAAAGTTTGGGGTCAGGAAGATATTTTTAAAATTAATATTCATTCAGCAAGAATTCAGTTGATTAAAAGTCACAGTGAGGACATCTTTTATAATGCTACAAAATATTTATATTACAAATAAATGCTTTTCTTTTTTTACTTACTATTCATCGGATAATCCAGAAAAATGTTTTATGGGTTCCACAAAAATATTAGGCAGCACAACTATTTTGAGCACTGATGATAATAAAAGTTTCTTGAGCTCCAAATCAGCATATTAGAATGATTTCAGAAGGATCATGTGACACTGGAGACTGGAGTAATTTAGCTTTGTTATCACAATAATAAATTACATTTTAAAATGTATTAAAAAAATAGATTTTTTTATTTATTTATTTTTAGTTTTTACTGTTTTTTAATCAAATAAATGCAGCCTTGGTGAACATAATAAATTTACTTTAAATAAACAAAGAAAAATGAATATAAGAAAAAATCTTACCAAGCTCAAACTTTCTGAATTTGCATTATAATATTCATAATATACATGATTTTATGTATATTATTTATTTCAGTATATCCCATGGTATCTTTTGAAAACCTCATGTACTGTGACTCTAGCTAATCAGTTTTGGCCAATTTTGTTTATCTTTGGTCAGGTGACAGATGACTACACTGTGATTGGTCGAAACCTGTTTAAGAAGGAGACAAACCTTCAGCTGTTCGTGGGTTTAAAAGTTACGCTGTCAACAGGAGAAACGGGATCCATTGAAGGTGGCTTCGGCCAAAGTGGCAAAATCAAAATCAGAATACCAGGTAAGCAAAGACAAATCCACTCTCTTTTACTCTCCTTTACTTTTTCTTGGCCCCTTTTTACCTCCTTCCTCTAAGTTTCTTGTCAGGTGACTTCCATATTCCATACATCCGTACACTCATTCATTCATTCATTCAAAGACTGCATATAAAAGTTACTCTCATATAAAGTTACACGCACCAAAAATGCACGCTTTATCTTAAATATACGTGCAAAAGAAAAGAAAAACTCACATCCTTTTCCTGACCCTTAAGGCTCTCTTGTGTAGGTAGACCTCAGCCACACAAAT